GTATAAGAGAACATTGATATAGAGATTTAGAGTGGTTCGAAATAAACCTTTTTTTACTTCTAAACAAATAAAACTTTAACTGGAATTTGCATCAAAGTACTCAAAAATGCTGATACCATATTGGAATAAAATTTTGTAGTAAAATGAGTCAAAATACAATCTCGTTTCATCGGATGGAGTCCAAAAGGTGTGGCGAAAAAAAGGAGAAACTTATAAATTGAGTTGTTTGCGAGGTAGTAAAATGCATCAAGGAAGAAATGTGATGGTTTGGGGGTAGTATGAGTTAAAAAATGGAGAAATTTACATTTATTAATGACTAAATGAACGTATCAATGTATTGTGAAATTCTCTAAGCCAACTTGCCAACATATACTTAAAAATTGAGAATGGGAAGCGATTTCATACTCCAGTAGGATAACAATCCTAAACATACCGCTAAGAAAACGAAGTTATGTTTTGACACAATTAATGTTTTGAAATGGCCATCTCAAAGTCCAGACTTGAATCCAATAGAAAATTGCTGGTATTTTTTGGACAGAAAAATTGGCAAACAAGCATTTAGACGCAAAGACAACTTGAAAGAAGCTACAATGAGGGCATTGGATAATACAACAGCAGAAGATACCCAAATTTTGGCCAACTTAATGTCAAATCATCTAGATGAGGCCATCAAGGCTAAAGGAGACACCAATCGATACAAATTTCCATTGAGTTTGATCAATTTGACATTATTTTTGAACTGTATGATTTTTTTTTTTTGCAGTCAATTTTATGCATCATTGGATCAATTGAGTAAAATTCAATAGGTTTGAAAAGCAATTAGTTCAACAATTCGCAAATTAATTCTTAAAACAACAATTAGTAAGATATATAAAAAATTTTTTTGAATATTTTATCGGACAACTCATTTTTTTGATGCAATCTTAAAAATTATGATTTTTTTTTAAGTGTGCGATTATTTTTTTTGCATACTGTATATATATATATATATATATATATATATATATATATATATATATATATATATATATATATATATATATATATATATATATATATATATATATATATATATATATATCTACTATAGCATATTTATATGTGCAATTGCTCACTTTTTTTGCTCATCTAAATCAATATAGATTTTTGAGAAAAAGAAGAAGAAAACGAAGAATAATGAACGAAAAGGTTGCTGACCCATCCCAAACCCTTAGGCTATGTAGCAGCACTCCACTGCGAGTCAGGCTATTTGTCAGTCTATGTATGAACTGAAACCCCCAGCAGCAGGCTATTTCAGTATGATGTCATCATGTTCACCTAACTCAGCAGTATAAGATAATAGAATTAGCCTCACCATGTTCTAACCCAATATTTTGTAAATCTGTTACCAGATTTGTGCGGTGCATATTTGGTATCCACACATATATAATTATTGTTACAAACAACAACTTTTTAGATTATAATATGGCATAATTAAATTGTGTTGGCTAAAACTTTTTAGATTATAATATGGTATAATTATATTGCTAAAAACTCGTATCAGAGAAACTTGGAATGATATATCTATTGAAGCTATCCAAAATCTTGTGACTAGTATGTCAAGTTGCATATTTGAAGTCATTAAAAATTCAGGAAGCAATTTCTTGTATTAAGCTAAATGAAGCTAATTCTGTTTTCTCCACAAATTGAATACTTTTAATTTTTTTTCCATTTGTAATTAAACATACCAATTTATAAATTTTTTTATAAAAATAGTAGAAGATAATAAGAAATAAAGTAGATTTAATAATTGTTTTACTGCCATTTTTGTTAAATTAGAACAAAAAATAAAAGTTAGGCTAATTCTAATTTTCTCTGCTGTATTATCAAAAAACTTACAAGTTTTAAAAACATCACAAGGCCTGCTATAGCAGGCCTTGTGATGAATCCGGAGCAGTTGCTCCGGACATGTGAAACTGTAAATGAACAAATAGCGCTAATAGATCAAACAAATAAATGAGAGATTTTTTATTCTCGTAACAAAACTAGCAAGCGCTATTTATCACGCCCGTAAGTTCATTTACGGGTGTGTTTCACGTGTCACGAGTGATTGCTCCCAATTCATCACAAGCACTGTGTAGCTTTTAAGAAATCTTTTTCATTTTTTAACATTTTTTTATAAAATGATTATTTTTTTAAAATTTTTTATATAATTTCACTTTATTTAATACCCAACAAAACATACTTTTGAAAAATATTTTTTTGTTAAAATTAATTTAATGTTTAAGGGTCTTGAGGCACCCCTAAAATATTTTTTATTCAACAAAATTTTAAATCTTGTGTTATTTTATTAAATAGAACACATTAAAGTGAATGCTGCAGATATTTTGTGTACTAGGGTATTTCAAAAATGTTGTTTTTTGAAATACCCTAGTACACACATACATACATACATGTGTGTGTATATATATATTATTATTAATACTAATAATAATGATAATACTATTATTATTAATAATAACAATATTAATTATATATTAAATAAATTTCATTTGTTGATTTAAAATTGACAAATTTAAACTTAATGTAAACTATTAAACAAACTTATAAAATATGTTGATTATGGAGGCATTCATTCCCAAAAAAAGCGCTGTTATTAATTGTAGTTTTAATGACTGTTCATTAACAGTTTTATTGTTATATTATTAAATTTAAAATTATTGCTTATTTAAAATGATCGCAAAAGTCAAAGTATGTTCGATTGATTACTGCAAACGCCATGGACAAAAAAAAAAAAAAAGCAAAGAAAAAAGCAAAGAAAAGCTAGCAGTTTGAAAAATTTGATAATAAAAGATTTTACAAATGTGTTTTTTTAAAAATATTCCATTGATGAGTCTGAGATCTCATCAATGGAATATTTTTAAAAAAACATTAAGAAAATATACATTTAAATATTAACGTTATAATCATCCAAATCATTCTATTTTTGCTTGAGCAGTTTCTCGGTGGCATCCTGGTCCTACTCGAGTTTTCTAATTCTTCTGATAATATTAATACGCTAATTTAATAATATTAGTCGAATTACGTCATTTTCTAGCCTTTTCTATTTTATAGTAGTTTCTAGGCTTTTCTATACGCGGTTTTTTTTTAATTTTATTAACTAACAACGCGTATTACGGGTTGCTTACTGTTAGATATTTATTATTCGTTTTTTAAATTATATCTTTATTTGTATTTTTTTTCTTATTATTTATTTTATAAATATATATATATATATATATACATATATATATATATATATATATATATATATATATATATATATATATATATATATATATATATATATATATATATATATATATATATATATATATATATATATATATATATATATATATATATATATATATATATATATATTTATATATATATATATATATATGTATATATATATGTATACATATATATATATATATATATATATATATATATATATATATATATATATATATATATATATATATATATAATATATATATGTATATATATATATGTATATATATGTATATATAAATATATATATATATATATATATATATATATATATATATATATATATATATATATATATATATATATATAAGATTAAAATTCTAGCTTTATAAAACTTGTCTGCCAAAAAAGAAGTGCCTTTTTGAAAAGTAGATAAATAATAACCTGTAGAACTCATAAAATTTTCTTTGTTGAATTGATCGAATTTTAATGACATGCAGCGCGTGGAATTTTTAAATTAAATAATAGCCTGTAAATATTATATTGCGTTTGATTTAACCGCCTTTAAATAAGTAAAAGGGAAGTTTAAATTTTTTATATCAAGTTTAAAAATAATATGTTTATCTTAATATTTAATATATTAAAGACATTATTATACTATATTACTATAACAAACTTGTTTTCTTGCCGTTTTTATTATTGATAAAAATAGTTACATGAACGCCATATAAATACCTTTTTGGCGCTAAAAGTGGAGCTTATGCGCAAAATTGACACTTAGCATATTATATTTTTTTAAGTAAAAAAATTTACATAACTTTTATAAACCGGTAATGCAGTTCAATGTAAACTAACAAGGTTTTTGAGAGAAAAAAACTCAATAAAACTTCAAGTCTATCTAAAAAAATGCGCAGTATTGAATTTAAACTATTTCATTTAAAATACAAAGATCTACGATGATAAAAATTTTGAATATTAAAAAAAAAACCACAACTTCACTAGCCTAAAATAAAATAAACTGGGAAAACATAACATATATTTGGATTGGATAATTGGGTTCCGTAAAACTCAGATACGCCAGAAGCTAGTCTAAAAAAACATCTGCAATACTTTTTTACTTTTATCTTTTTCATGTGTTCCTTTTAACTAAACAAGTATATGTCTGACCAAAATAACTTTTGGTCAGACATTTTGTCCAGGACCTTATAAAAAATTAAATTATGCCCTGTATATATGTATATATATATATATATATATATATATATATATATATATATATATATATATATATATATATATATATATATATATATATATATATATATATAAATCAAAATTAATTACATCAATGTCATATATATATATTCAAACTTTGTTTGAGAAGTAAAAGTTAATATTTAAAGCTACTGGCATCAACTGATAAGACAATACCTAAAAAAACTTTGTGCAATGTATGAGTTTAGTCATCAAGTAGTTGGCTAGCATTGCACGTGTTTTATTGATAAAGTAGGATGCATCTGTAATAAATCTTTTGAGACTCACTATTGAAACTTGAACTTTGATGTAATTGCAAGTATTTTTCTTTCTAAGATTTAACATACAGAAATAAACTACATAATAATTACTGTATAAAAGCATAAATATTTATTGCAGTTTTACATGCTAAAATAAAACTTGTGTTCTTCTGTAAGGGTAGACTGGTATGTAAAAAGTAGCTTGGTAATTTAATGTTTTTAATTTTTTAGGTAACTTGTTCAACCTGTCAAAGTTTTCAAGCAAGAAATATTTATCTAACAGAGCAAGTATCACATCTCAATGAGGATATTGAGAACTTAAAAGATCAAATGCGTACTCATGCTAGGTAAGAATATTTTCGATCAAGTTTTGTTTTCTCTGGAAATGATCTATATGCAAATGATCTATCTCTTAAATGTACATTTAAAGCGATTGAGTACTTGCATATAGAGCAAAACTTTTTTATTAAACACACTAGATAATACATTAGAACTTGTCCAAATACATGAAATTACTAGTTATCAGAAATTTTTTTAAAACTCTGTAAAAATTCTGTAAATGTCTATACTTTGGTATAAAACATAATATGCTGTGAATAGATCACATTTTTCAATTAGCAAGTATCTTAAATGAACTCTAATAGTGCAATTCTTTTAAAGTAGATAATAAGTCTTTTATTTCCAGATAATTGTAATTAATTGTAGTATAAATTCATCTTTTCTAATTTCATAGCAAAGGTTTCATATACTTGGCTTGAGTTAATGAAGGGATTTAATTTTTTTGTGAGCATCAACCACTTTGGAATTGACACAATTAATGATAGTTTTGATGATAGTTTGGTGATAGATTTTCGGCAACTTTTTGTAAAATCTAGCAAAAGTTTCAGAGTCTTGGATGGAAGGTTGATCTTTACAACTTCACTTTCCCAACAATACAATTTACAACCAGCTCAATTAATGAAATCTTTATTGCATCTGTAAAACTCCAAATAAACATTTGTCAGGTTTACTAGCCAATTCTTTGACAACTAAACCATATATCAGCTTACTGCTGAAATAAAAACAAAGTAAATAGAAGTCTCATTAAGAGTATTGCCATTCATCAATGTCATTAACAAATAGATCATTAGAGATCATTAATATTAAACAAGATCATTAATATAAAGTATTAGGTTTGAAGATTATTAATATAATCTAACCAGTTAACTTCTGTTTCTACTTTTTTATTGGGTAAAATGTGTTCAAGATTAAGCATATCAAAAAAATAACCTGTAAAAATCGTAACATTTGTATTTGATGTTGTTTTGGTTTAATAACCTATGTAAAGCAGCTTTTTTGTTTTTCATAGTGTACACTTGGCTTTTTTTCATAAGTAGCACTGATATGCTATGGTGTAGTCCATTTAATATTCAGCTTGCTTATTAATGTTTTTTTCATTTTTCATAATACTTCTTAAAAATCACCTCACTGACTCTTTTTCACTTTTTTAATTACAATTTTATTTTTCTTGAATGAACCATCCACATTAGTATCAGTTTTTTAATTGACTCGGTAATTTATGAACTTCTCAATGCTTGTAAGTTGTTACTGCATTCAAAGTTTTTTTTTTTGATAATTTTTTTAATGATATTTGCATTCTTTACAGAGTGCAAGATAAAAAATTATTTCATCAGGAACTGTTTTAGTTACAACTCATTGTCTTTAACTTTTTAAATCTAGAATTATTTTTTGGTGGAATTACCTAGGGGAAGCACATTTTGGTTGTAAATTACAAAAGTCACAAAGCTTTAATTTTTCTTTTTGTTGTCAACAGATAGTCTTGGCAAAATATTTTTTATATAAAATAAAACTAAAAATATAAATCTAGAAGCATCTTTTTTCTAGAAGCTATTTACAATGAATTAAAACATTTCAAAAACAGCTGTAGATAGCATATAAAATTAATGATTAAGATTGACTAAATATGTTTGGCTTTACCCACTTGAGATTTTTTTCTCTTAAAAACCATGTAGTGAAAGTAGCCATTATGGATTTCAACCAAATAAATTCTAGAATTTTTCACTAAAATATCAATTAAACAAAAATCATGAAAAATGTTTTTCTCAAAACAAACAATTTTTTCTTTAAAACAACTGTCGATTTTTTTCAAGAAATTCTTATTTAAAACTTAGTATTAACTTAAATTTTAAGAAAATTTTGCTTAAATTTTATAATATTTTTAAGAATATTCAAATATATTTTGAAAAAAAAGGTTAAAGATAAAAATTTTATTAAAGTTTATACAAAATTGTTTGTATAAAAATATGGTTTTTGTTATAGGTGTACTGGTATCATGGAAAGAAAACAAATCCATTTAAAAATTGAATTCGTACAATTTCTGCAAAATTCTCTAGTCAACGGCAAGTTTTTATATTTGCAAATCACTTTACCCATGTTTATTAAAATTGTACTAGGAAGAATTCAAAAGAACTTATTAAGCAAATATTTATGCAAAAATAAAATTTTCTTATTTTGTTTTAGATACCAATTTATATGTAAGCGTAGCTGATGTACCAGTAAGTAACTACTAGTATATTAACTTCTGATATAAATTAGTTATTTATAAGTTAATTTGTTATTTCCTTTCTTCAGAAAAAAAGAATTAATATTTTTCTTTTTTTAATTTTTCTTTCACTACTTGGTGTTGTTATTTACGCCCAGAAAAATAAAAATAAATTTAATTAAAGTTTTATACTTTATAATTTTTTAATCAAAGTTTATGAGCTAACTGCTGTAATTTATTAATGTTTAAGAACTTCGTGTTATAGATCACTTTTTATCTATTGATGTTTAAGAACTTAGTGTTTCAGATCATTTTTTATATTAGGATTCCAAAGCTTGATTTTATGGATTTTATGAGTTATCTTTTATATTATGTTTAAAGAACTATGTTGAGATAACATATATAGCTTTTTCAGACTTGCTAACAATGCCAACAAAAAAACATCATATGCTTTTGATAAGGCTGCTATTATCATTTTAAAAATTGTGAAAGAATACAACTATTATATGTTTTTGATTTGGCCTTCTCATATCATATCATAATGCTGATACAAGTTTTGTATCAAAATTGCTATCGATAGCTTGTATAGCTTTTTTTATCATTTCTCTTTACAGAGTGAGAAAGTATATTGTAAATAAACATTTAGTGTTACAGTTTGAATAGCATTATATTGAAAGCAAATGTTAAATAGATTTGTTAGATTTGTTTTTGTGGTTTGGTTGAGATGATACCAAAAGTCTAATAAAAAAAAATCTAATAAAAAAAAAAATTAATAAGACAGTCCTGATACTCCAATTGGTGCTGCTGTTGTGGCAAAAAAAAGTTAAGCCCATAGCTAGAAAAAGCTTTAACGTTAATTTTAACAGTTACTAGTCTTTTTTGCTAAATTTATTTTATTGTTATAAATATATATGGCCAGATTTAAAATATTTGAAAATATAATGTGTTAAGGGGTGGATTTGAATCCTTGCAAAATGGCACTTATGACAGCACATTAAAACGACTGATCTATCAAATTTATGCATGTAATTGAAAAACAAACCATTTTATAAACTATACCAATTGCAATTAATCAACACTTTTTAAACGGGTTCTCAAAATAAGTTTTATTGCATAGGAATAAAGTTGTGCATATATATAAACATATGTTATATGCAAATGTAAAAAGTCTACTTATATAATTTTTTATATAGGATTGTGTGTAATATATGAAATCTTTTTTAATAATTACAATTTGTTTTTGCTTATGCTGTTTTTTTTTGAATTTTTGTATTTATGTTATTGTATTTAAAAAAACTGACAAGATTGAAAAAATACGAGACATGTTGTCTCATCCAAGTGGAAAATTTGAAACTGCAATTTTAGATTTGCCCCTCTCTTGATAATTTTTAATTCCTAAAATTATGTCATTTTTTTCTTAGACCATTAAAAATGATACACAACTTTTTCGCAATTTGTTGAAGGCAAAGTTTTTTTGCGTATGTGAAGTCACTTTGTGGTAAAACACTAAAAAAACAAACTAGAAATAAGATTTTGTTTAAATTTTTTAGGAAAATTCCTTTTATTTAAAATATATGGAATATATTTTTATCAGACATATTCTAATAAAGAGTAAAACTATTTATTTATTACTATTGTAATAAATACAAACTCTTATCTGTGAAATGGTATACCTGTACCAGTTTTTACATGTCTTTGTGCAATCGCATGCACCATTAATAATCAAAATTAATCAAAATTAATCAAAAAAGTGTAAGATAAATGCAAAGACAGACTTGACGCATAAAAGTTTTTTTCGTCACAAACTAATGTCACTGCACAAAATTTTTTGGCTTAACTTTTAGATTAGCGTTTTTATAGCTAACGCCACATCTATAGTTTTTAATAATAGTCATAAGAATGAACTTTCTTTTTATGACTATGTTTTAATGGTCTAAGATCTTCTTAGTTCTGCCATTTGTATAGCATTATGTACAAACTTCTGTAAGTGTAAATCTCTTTAGCATATGTTTAGTTTGCAGGCTGTATATAGAACAATCGTTTATAATTTATCTATAAAATGAGAAAACTTTAAAATTTTATTTTAACAATTAGAAATCTTTTTTGCTATATTATTATTTTTTTGCTGTAAATATATACGCAAGATAAATATATAAGCAAGAAAAAATTTCAAAAACCTTAAATCACTAAACCACTTAGCTATCAATAATATGCATTTAGGAGAAAAACAAACTTTTTTTGCTGTTAAAGCAATTTTTCAGAATAAGTTATTTTACTAAAAAATATTGAAGTAAATATGGAATAAGTATTGAACTGATTGATGTGGATTAGATAAGTATAGAAATAGTAGGTTTGATAATGACCCATATTTTCCATATTATGAAAAAGTATAGAAAAATTTGGTGTGGAATAGACTTACAAAGATTCGTATTTTTACGGATCCAATTGGCTAGTATATATATATATATATGTATATATATATATATATATATATATATATATATATATATATATATATATATATATATATATATATATATATATATACAGATATATGTATATATATATATATATATATATATATATATATATATAATATATATATATATATATATATATATATATATAATTATATTTAAATGAATAAAAACAACTGATTAGCGGGACTTAAAGTTTCATGCCCGAAGGCAATCATCAGCCGTTAATACAAACAAAAAACGTAAACAAACCGTTACAAAAACGTAAAAATTACTGTAGAATGACATCTGACGTTATAAACAAATCTACGTAAAAAACAAATCAAAAAACAAAAAACAAAAAGCCGTTATAGTTTATTAGTCCCCTGTGTCAAAAAAATTCAAAAAAATTCCTATTATCCTATTATCTTTATTTGACACAGGGGACTAATAAACTATAACGGCTTTTTGTTTTTTGTTTTTTGATTTGTTTTTTACGTAGATTTGTTTATAACGTCAGATGTCATTCTACAGTAATTTTTACGTTTTTGTAACGGTTTGTTTACGTTTTTTGTTTGTATTAACGGCTGATGATTGCCTTCGGGCATGAAACTTTAAGTCCCGCTAATCAGTAATGTTTGATCAGTAATCGCTAATCACTAATGTTTGACTTTAGATGGTCTTGTTTATATTTTTATTAATAATAGAAAAATTGTTTTATTTTACAAACCAAATGCAGTAAAGAATAATTTGTAGTACCTGGTAAAAAGGCAATGTAGACATAAATTAGCATCAAGCAAAGAATAAAAAGAATACAAAATAGAGATAAAATTTATTGAAGGTAATATTAAGAAAGAAATTATGATGAAATCAATAAGATCAGTTCTCAATGGCACTTTGTTTGAACTTAAAAAGCAAAACTTTGATACAGTTAAAAAAGAAACTTGTAACTGTTCAACGACAGATAAAACAGAACTATTAATGACTATTGAATGAACTATAGGCTTTTATTAAATGAACTCATAGATATTCTGTGTAAAATTAGTTCTCATTCGTTTATTGCAAAATCACTAGCAATAAACCAGAAAATCCAGTTATCTAAAACATCTCAAAGAGACGAGGAAATTGTCCTGGCAGATTTAGCAGAAAAGTTACCTGTTAATACAGATTTATCATTGAACAAGCAGTGCTCCCTTCATCCATTTGTCATCTATTACATGGAAGAAAAGTTAGAAGCATCTTTTCATTACATCTTAATAAAAGACCTAAATCTAATTGAACAGCTTTTATCTTGTCAAATATTTTCCTAATATTTGTCTTTTATTATTTATTTATATTATTATTTTATTATAGAAAGAAATTATTGTTAAAATCACATTAATATTTAACTTCAACATTTTTGTTTTTTATTTATTTAACTTCAACATTTTTGTTTTTTATTTATTTTGTCAGATTTTTACTCTTTTTCAAAAAATGTTTTTCGATTTTCTTTCTAATGAAAGCTACAAAAGTAAAAAAAATGTTTTTCAATTTTCTTTCTAATGAAAGCTACAAAAGTAAAAAAAATGTTTTTCAATTTTCTTTCTAATGAAAGCTACAAAAGTAAAAAAAATGTTTTTCAATTAACTTTCTAATGAAAGCTACAAAAGTAAAAAAAAATGTTTTTCAATTTTCTTTCTAATGAAAGCTACAAAAGTAAAAAAAATGTTTTTCAATTAACTTTCTAATGAAAGTTACAAAAGTAAAAAAAATGTTTTTCAATTTTCTTTCTAATGAAAGCTACAAAAGTAAAAAAAAATGTTTTTCAATTTTCTTTCTAATGAAAGCTACAAAAGTAAAAAAAATGTTTTTCAATTTTCTTTCTAATGAAAGCTACAAAAGTAAAAAAAATGTTTTTCAATTAACTTTCTAATGAAAGCTACAAAAGTAAAAAAAATGTTTTTCAATTTTCTTTCTAATGAAAGCTACAAAAGTAAAAAAAAATGTTTTTCAATTTTCTTTCTAATGAAAGCTACAAAAGTAAAAAAAATGTTTTTCAATTAACTTTCTAATGAAAGCTACAAAAGTAAAAAAAATGTTTTTCAATTTTCTTTCTAATGAAAGCTACAAAAGTAAAAAAAATGTTTTTCAATTAACTTTCTAATGAAAGCTACAAAAGTAAAAAAAATGTTTTTCAATTTTCTTTCTAATAAAAGCTACAAAAGTAAAAAAAATGTTTTTCAATTAACTTTCTAATGAAAGCTACAAAAGTAAATTAAATGTTTTTCAATTTTCTTTCTAATGAAAGCTACAAAAGTAAAAAAAATGTTTTTCAGTTTTCTTTCTAATGAAAGCTACAAAAGTAAAAAAAATGTTTTTCAATTAACTTTCTAATAAAAGCTACAAAAGTAAAAAAAATGTTTTTCAATTTTCTTTCTAATGAAAGCTACAAAAGTAAAAAAAATGTTTTTCAATTAAATTTCTAATGAAAGTTACAAAAGTAAAAAAAATGTTTTTCAATTTTCTTTCTAATGAAAGCTACAAAAGTAAAAAAAAATGTTTTTCAATTTTCTTTCTA